TCATTCCAGAGGAGGTGAGATAGAGGCCCCTGAGTATGGGGGAGAGGTGACTGCCTAAAAGGTTGAGGATTCCATGCCACCAGAAGGGGCTGCTTTTCTGGGGGCAATGCCCTTAGGGCCATAGAAATGGAAAGTAGAATCCAACAGAAGAGGTGTCTTTGCCAGTGTGGTCACACTTAGGTCTCTTGCTCTCCAATGTGGAGTGGAACCCCCACCCCCTACTGGGTGGTAGGAACTCAAATGGAAATGTGATGGCAAGTGGAACTCCCCTGCCAACTCTGGGTCTCAGGGTTTGGGCCCCTGTCATGGAATCCATGCCAAGACACCATGCAGAATTGGAAGAGCACATGAGTTCGTGTTCAGGAGCCACATTCTCCTCATGCAAAGCACTGCAAAGGTGATGGTTGACCTATTTCATACAACATCTTTCTTCTTTACTTTTTCTTTGTTTTTGTTTTGTTTTGCAGTAATGTGCAAGGAAACCAGGGTGCTCTGCTACCGAGGTTCTTGGGTAGGACTCTTTCTTTCAGCATTTTGTGAAAAACTCCCTCATTAGCAAAGACTGGCACAGATTTTGAGATCCTCCTGCCTGGATGACTCAAGATGTTGATAGCCACAGGCCCAGTGTGTGGATGTCCTTAGAGCACTGGTCCAGGTGTCCACAGAGTTTGAGGGTGGAGTGTATGTGTCAAAGCCCTCGTCTAAGGAACTTACACATATGGATCCTGGTAATGTCATGCAAACAAATCCACAGAAGTCACACATCCAAAAGACTCCCTTCAGGACCAGGCCAAAAACAGCCAGCCAGAATAAATGTTGGAACTTGTCAGATTCAGAACCCTGGGTGCTGTCTCCTTGAGTCAGGGAGAGCTGCTGTGGGCGGGGCCCTCTCCTGGTACAGTGCAGCCCTTTAGATGCCTAGGAGGTGAGGATGCCTCACCACCTATCACCCGAACACCTGACCCGCAAGAAGATAACATACTTCCTAGTGCCTTAGAGACAGGTTTCCACACTCTGGATGCTGAATGTCACAGGAATGGGGGGTGGGGGGTTTGCAGATGGTGTGCAGTGACCCAGGCAGATGGTCTGAATGGGGGATCTCATCAGAGGAACACTGCAACACCACCACTAAACCTCAGAGTATACATTTGCTTTTGCTCTTGAGCTTGTTTCTGACTTTCAAGGTGACCATCATTGTTTCAGTTGATATGATGGAGGATCAGCAATATGGAATCCAGTGCACTGACCCATCCTGCTTTGTGCTAGATTGGCTCCAGCTCATTAGGACCCACACCTGTGTGTGCAGTAAGCAGATGGGATGTCTAGTGCCAGCCTGCATCGAGGGCCTAGTAGAGGTGACTGGGTTGATGAGGTTGTCTCACCACAGTCATCCTCTATTGAGGTAGCCTGCACTCCTGGACATGGTGGCAGGTGCGTTCCAGTAGTAGCCAGGCATCCCACCCCAGATTTGACATTCTTTCCAAAAGCTATGGGCCAGGATCCAGGTCGTGCAGACACTGAAGACCCTGGGAGGGCAGGATTGCAAATGGAAGGCCACACCCTGCAATTAGACAGACCTAGTCTCAAAATGAAGCATCAAAGGAGCTGTGGATGGAGCTCAGGGGCAGAGCATCCTGGGTTTAATGGTCCATACTGGAAAGACAGAAAATACCCTGTGCTTCAGAACCCAGGCACAGAAGTACAGTCTGCGAAACTACTTGGGAATCTAAGGCTCCTTCTTGGACATCAGGAGACCCAGGAGAGCCTGGGCAATTGTTCTGAGTCTGTCTGAAAAAGAAAAAGAAAAAGTGTGGAAGATGGACCTCACTGCTAGAGAAGTCTTGTGTCAGAATCCTTTCCCGTTCTTTCAAATGAGAACATTCAAGGGCAATTTTCTCTTAGAGCAAAATTTTTATATTTCTGCCATGTTGAAGAGGCTGAGCTGATAAGAGAGTTACCTTCACTAACTTATAGCCGAAGACTTGAAGTCAGAAAACCAAGTATTGGAAAAGGGCAAGCCTCAGTACTCCTAGGCATTCCCCCCACCCCAAGGGTCTTGCTCATCAGAGAAAGAAATTTCAGAAAGAAATGGCCTGTGACCAACACTGCCTGAGGCTCTCCCCATCTAGGGCCTGCTCTTGTACTTGGGTTCACCCCCTGCTTTGACCCTGCTGATTTTCAAGAAAAAACAGGGGCAAGGGAATACCAAGATTTTCCCTTCCCCTTTCATTTTCCACAGGCCAAGATGCAGGCTTGCCTCTCTTGCAACTTCTCAGCCAGGTGGTCTTTGTGGCACATGCTTCTCCCAGTGACTTTACCCAGGTCTGGTTTTGCATACTAGCATGTGGAAAAGCAAAAATCTACAACATACAGAAGAAAAAGTATGCAGCTGGAAGAGAGGAAGGCAGGGCTGTGGTTACCTCTTTGCATAGGCAAGCATTTCCATATCAACTCTCTTTACACTTGCACCCTAGAGATAATGCTGAAAGCCTAACCTGCTAGGGAGCCTGAGTCCTGAGGATGATTTTTCTTCATTTATTTATTTATTTATATTTATTTTTTGTCTTCTTTATCTCTTTTCATATGCAAATGCGTCCCACAAGTGGAAAACAAAGCAAAATCGGCCAGCCAGGAGGCCTCTGCCCAATTTGGATTTAGGAAAACTCTTCAGAGGCAGCAGGGACTGCTGTATTTCCCTGGAGGTCTTGGCATGGACTAGCCACAGATGGAGGCCATCCTGTGTGCAATGCAAGCAATTTGACCCCAGGGTCAGGGAAACCTAGCCTCTGGGCCACTCCAGAAGGCCCAGGAACCGCCGCCAGGGGCGCTGTCCCGCTGGCAGCAGCCTGCAACCCGGAGGCGGAGCCTGCGCTGGGGGCGGAGAAGGCGTGGCCTGCGCTGGGGGCGGAAAAGGCATGGCGTGGGATGACCTAGAGGCCGGTGGTCGCCTTTGGGAAGGGCGCAACTTGCACCTTTCTCAGCGCCCTTTGGTGCAGTGCAGGGCTTGGCTGAAAGGAGGACACGCCGACTCCGCCCGCAGCACTGGAGCTCGTGCCGCCCAGCGGCCAATGGACGGACTCCTGGCTCTGAGTATGGGTTGCATTGCGCCTCAGTCCCTGATGACTCCTGGGTCCTGGGGTCCTCTCAGGGATCTGTTCACAGATCGGCACAGCCTGAGACTGCACCATTCATGATTCTGGGTGTCATTGCCTGCCACCGCATGCAGGCATGCTGTCTCAGCTGCTTGGAAATGGTTGATTCCAATATTGTGCTTTACATTCCTTCTAATTCCTGCCAGACCCAAAAATGCTTTTCTCTAGGGGATCCAAAAGCCTTTTAAAATTCCTATGAAAGAATGATGTTTCAGGGAGAACCTAGGAGCCATTCCTGTGCCTATGTAAGTTGTTCTGCATTTCATTCAGTAATTCGTGTGTTTGGGCAGTACTAGTGAATGTTCCTGGGGTCTGATGCTCTCATCCCCTAAAGGTTCCTCCACTGAGCTATGACCCTTTGCATATCTGCCTCTCCCTCCCTCTTTCCCCTCTCCCTCTGCCCAGGCGCCCCTTTCTCTGGGACAGAGTGGTTGAATGCAGGAGTGCTCTACCACTTTCTTCTATTCCCCTTCTTGTATGTGTTGACATCCCTGAGTCGTTTTGACTTTTTTGCAGTAGGTTTCAGTTTTTTGGCCAGGCTGGCCATGAACATGCTATTCCCTTGGCTCAGTTCCCCTGAGTGGCAGTAGAGCTGGGTGCCACCTCTCCTAAGCACACAGTATAAAGCTGAGCCCAGCAGCAGGCTGTTGTTTATGGAGCACCCACTTTGTGTGTGTGCATTGTGCATGGTGGATGTTTGATATTCAACTAAACACATGAGACATTATTGCTTTGCCACGTAGATGCCCATCTTCCATTCTAATGACCAGATTAGCTGTGGCAGTAGCATCATGAGTCCCTGGCCAGCATGGGCCAATGTGCAACCCTGTCTCAAAGTGAAATAAAACCTGTCTAAAGTGAAATGAAAAAGTGGTGGGAAATAGAGCTCATTGCTTACCTATCCTGTGTGACAAAGGGGGATCCATCCTCACTAACATGAACAAAGCCAAGCAAGCAAACAAACAAACAACAACAAACAAACCAAACAAAAAACCCCACCTAACAAAGGAATAAAGAATTGGAAAAGACACAGGATTGGAGAGATGGACAGACTTGGGGAAGCCTGTACAGTGGCGGTGGGTTAGCCAAAGCATGCATTTAGGTTAAAATATATAACGAGTGCCCAAGAAGAAAAGGAAGGGGAGAGAGGACCCTGGGACACAGCACAGCAGGTGAGCATGGAGCCTTTCTGAAGGAGGTGAGACGCACTAGAGCAGAAGGGGCACCACAAGGTGAGTTTAGGGCAGCTGTACAGGGAGGACCAAGGGCAGGAAGAGTGCCAGTTAGCAGGGTGGGGCATCTCTTCCAGGGCTTGCTCTGTGCAAGAGAAATCCTGGGATTCTACTGAAGGTAAAGGGCCTGGATAGGAGGTAGGGGAGCATGCTTCATGGCTACAAGGTGGCAGAGGTGGGATGCACACCTGTTGTGACTGCAGAGCCTCTTCCTAGGGGCTCCTAAGGTGGACAATGTTAGATGGTGTGTAGGCACAGAAAGCTGGCAGCCATCAAAGCTGCTGTGGCTTTCATTCCTTGGTGGCCCAGAGTGAGGCAAGCCAGGGCATGGCTGGCCCTTTTGGGGGAAGCTGAGAAATCTTTGTGATGCAGAGGGCATCACAATCTTTGTGATCCTGTTCACTCAGGCCATTCACAGACCCAAGGCCAGAGCTGGTCCTAAACTCTTCAGAGCATGGCTTCACCTGAGTGGACCCAAAGCTCAGGGCCATGCCTGGGGTATATGGCCACGGGAGCAGGAGGCCTGTTTCCAAAGAAGGATCCTCTGCTTCATGGGCAGGACTAGCAGGGGATGAGGGTGTTCCACAGAGGCATTGTCTGAATCCACTGTGTGGATGGATCGCCGCCTTCAGCTCCACATTCAGACTCTGAAAGTTAAGGCTAAGTCCTCCAAGTCCTGCCAGGCTCTCGCCCAAGTCTGGGATGGGATGCATTCCAGCACGGGGCCAGGACCAGTGAAACACCTGTGGGCTCCTTTCCTGAGCATTAGCCTGCGTGTTACAAGAAAGCAAGAAGGGAAACCTTGGTGACCCTCGTGGATGAGCTGAGAAATGTGTGGACTTTTCTGTGAGGCAGTTAAACCTAGGCCAGCAATCAGTCTGTCTCCAGACAGAAATCGGTGCCATGAGCTACATTGATTCCCCACAGTGCAACTGTAGCTTTCACAAGAGGATTGGAAATGGGGTCAGGGCCTGCTTGCCTCTCAGAGGAAGTTGGTTGTGATGTAGGAAACTGGAAACTAATGTCTCCATCCACAGCAGGGGGATGAAATTCTACAGGTGTAAGTCCTTGAAGCAAGTGTAGACTCCTTCTTGTGTTGGGGAGAGTTCCCTGAAGATCAGAGCCGAGCAATATTGAGTTGCTTCCCAGAAGTGGCCACCAAAGACAAAAAGTCACCAGCTGCCCTTGTCAGCATCATGGTTGTATTTAGTGTCAGGGATCCTGACTGAACTTCCTTTGGACCCAAAGGGGCATGAGAGGCTGGTCCAGGGCACTTTCTCCTTCCCAAAGAAACTGAGTGGGCTAGGGGATGTAATCACCTGAGGCCAGGAACTGAATGCCTGTAGCTTCAGGACACAAGAGGGCAGGATTTTCCATTGTTCTGGCTTCTTAGCAGCTTCAAACACAGGGGCCATTTCCTGTTTGCCAGAGGAATGAAGCCTCAGGGTGGACCAAGCCCATCACCCTTCTGAGTGGCTGCTGGTCTTTCTTGTGGCCTTCCCTTCTCAAATGACACTCTCCAGCATCTATCTTTCCAAAAACACAGAGGCAGCCAGGGATACCCTGTGCTAGGAGCCCGCCCCTCTGGGGTGATTTGGCAAGTGAGGAGTGATCTTTAAGTCTTCCTCTGACTTTGGCTGGCAGCAGGATGAGCAGCCACTTAGCTCTGTGTGCACCAGGAAGGTGGACCTGAGGCTCCTGGCATGGCTGGTGAATTCTTGAAGTTCCTTGGGAGCAGGGAAAGGTTTTGGCCTCTTGGGTTGCACTAAATGGTGAGCACAGGGTGCTCAGTCAACACGCATTTGGTGAGGGAGTGCCCCTGCCAGGAGTGGCCTCCTGTTCCCTGTCCATTCCTCCACACTGAGTTGTCTGTCCTTGGGCCTGCTCAGAAGCCTTGGCTATTGTATGGATGTTGCCTTCTGGGAGGCTTCTTTGCTCCTAATACTGGGGCCTGGTTTCCTCTGTGTTGAAAGAATGGGAGACAACAGTCTTGCCTTCCACTGTGCACCAAACAAACCAGAGTGGCTTGCTGCCACCCTGAAAGAAGCAATGTCGCCTCTCCCTAGAGACGTGGAGGAAGGGGCACTCATGCCCATGCTAGAGACCATGATACTGGACAGACTCTTGACCACTTGACACCATCCTTGCTTCTTGATATATTTTTAAACCCCTATATTTTCACCTATGTGGGGCACTAGGAAATGGAAGCAGAGAAATGCCAGCTCCTGGTTATTTCCTGAGGCCCCTGGGTCTCTGCCTGCTGCCACTCCACTTATTTTTGTCACACAGCTCCAGAATCCCAGCACTTGCTCTTGCTGGGGGCAATGAAGCCAGACAGTCCTGAGACTTCTCATGAGACCAAGTTGCAAGTGGTACCCCATGACCCTGGCTGTTGCCTCTTTCTCAGAATCCAGGTAGTGATGTGGATCCCCCTAGAGGGTAGGGAGCTACAGGGCTTGGGCACAGGGCTGCTTTGGAGATTTCCAGCCTTCGTTGTGTACCCACATGATACCATGAAAAGAGATATGGATACTATTCAAAATCTCCCAGAAGCCCCTGGCAGTTCTGGGGCAAACAAAGGCTCTCTCTGAAAATCAGTCCCTACAGACTTCCAGTTGTGCACAGTCAGGCACAATCAGAGCCACGAGAGGAGTCCACTTTGCCTCTCTCAATTTAGGACTCAGGGTGGGGTAGAATTGCATGTCATCCCTGGTTCCCCACCTTCCTGTGTTGTGTCACCTCTGTGTTTGTGCATGACAGACACATGACTCCAGCATGAGGGTTGCCCAGGTGGTGGTTCACACATGCATGGGCACATACAGCTGATGACCATCTTGAAAGCTGAGGGTGGAAGGTTCCCAAGGATACTCTAGGAAGCTCTGGAGAGCCTGTGAGGCCCCCTGGATTCTTGAACTCACACCCATGGTCAGAAGGAGGAGACGAGACTGAACCCAGCTCTGTCTCCCCCAACCAGGGGAGCTGCTGGCAGGACCTGGATCTTTCTGGGGAAGAGATCCAGGCTGTGTTGGCAGAATCTGTCCACTTGTACATATGCTATGGGAAGATGGCAGCAGCCAGCACCCCAGGTGGCCTTTGGAACCATCATGTGTGAAAAAGAGACTCAGGTAAGGAGTCCCAGAGGAAGTGACCTCACTTCCTTGGCCATGGAACATAGAGAACTTGGAACCCTCCTAGCTAGGTCCCAACAGTCCACCTCCAGCCCCTGTCCGTTCACGTTCACTTGCATTGACAAGGCAAGCAGAGAGCCATGAGCTCTTGTGGTCCAGTCCTCGGTGGACACCCTGGCCTCAGGAAAGCCCTGCATAGTGGCCTTTCACGTGCGTGGAGGCGCTGGGTCAGCCATGCGTCCAGAACACTCTGGCGATTTTTCTTAAGGACACTGGAGGTGAGACAAGACAGACAGTTGCAGGTGACCAGAGTCTAACCCACCTCTGTGACTCTGCTTGGGACAGCCCCAGACCCTCAGACCCTCGCTGAATGCAAGTTGTTGTGGGTGTGGGTGTGGGTGTTTCCCTCATTTCAACTGAGAATTAGAAGGGAAGGAAAGCCTTTGGTTAGATTTTTCAGTTGACTGTTCAACACTGAGACATTTTGCAGATGATACTGTTTCCTGGTTGAAATGTCCCTCTTTTTGATCCTTGAAACTAGGGAAGTGACAAGCGTTCGTCCCTGGCTGTGTCCCGTCTGGTGGACAGCTTCACCTCACTGGTCCGCCAGGAGTTGGAGAAGGACCTCGTGAACGTCCTGCAGAGAGGGCACTCCTCCTGGGTAGAAGGATTGTTGTGTAGACGCCCAAAGGTGCTCAGCATCCAGAAAGTGCTGGAGCTCCTCAGTCAAAGGTGGGTGCCACCTCCAGGCCCCAGGACATGGCCATCTCTTGGCATGATGGATGGGATGCCGGGCACCACTCTGGACCTCTGGCAACTCTGTGGGATGTAGGATATTCACAGGAGAACCCACCAGGGTGTCGAGCCAACCAAGTAGGATGAGCCCTAGGAGTGTAGGTCTCAGGCCTTGTCCACTGGGCCAGGCTTCCAAGGCCTCAGGACTTCCCCTGGGGTCCTGTCCTGCCCCTGTGGGGAACTCTTCTGCCTCAGCCCAGCTGGACAGAGGCCTCAGGAAGAGCAGTTTGCACACTGGGGAAGGAGCATGTGGCTTGCATGAGGAAGGGCCCCTGACCTGCCTGGGGGCAGAGTGGGGACTGCTGGGGTGGATGGAGTGGGACCTGGTTGGGTTTATTCATGGGCCCAATAGATGTGAAGCACCTGCCCTTGGCAGGCACATGGCCTACCCATTAGGAAGCAGGGCAAACACACCTCCCAGCCCTCCTGAGCTTTCACTATTGGCAGGAAGTTAGTCAAAGCCACCAGGCATCTTGGCGCATGCAGGGCACAGGATGTAGGAGGTGACATTCTCCTGGCCTTCTCTAGGTATGAGGACCAACAGCTATGCATGGAGGAAGTCTTCCTTCCGGGACAGAAGTGAGTGGTTTGGGGGCCACGAGAGTGGGCTTCTGACTCCAGGGTCACTTGGGGAACCTTGGCAGTGGATGGGTGGGCAAACGCAAGCGTCCACCTTCTGTGATTTGTGGCACACGGATGTGGTCTGGTGATTTCCCTCTGGAGTAGGCACAGATAGCTGTGGTGGGATTCTGGGTAGCTAAGGACTGCAGGAGGGGATGGCGCCTCAGAGCCTGGCCCTGTGAGCATCCCTCCCCTCCACAGCCAATCCCAGGCATGATGGCCCTCACTTTTCTCTATTGAGGCAAATTTGGGGAGCCCCTGATGCACAGGAGAGGGGAGCCTCTTACCCACACATGGCCCTCACAGATGTCCCCCTTCTCGCCCTGCTGCATTGGACCTGCTTGGCCACTCTCTGGGAAGCCCATCATCCGGGTGGTCCAAAGGGGCTTCCAGCTCAAGGCGATGCCCAGTCGCTCATGGCTCCCTGTCTCACTCCTATGTCCCCAGCTCCTTCTGCTCCACCATCCAAATGTGGCTCTGCCTGTACCCAGAAGATGTTGTGGGGTCCATGGACAGCCTGAGGAGTCTCAGGACCTTCTTGCTCCACACCATGCCGCAGTCAGGGCTGACAGTCCAGGTGGAGAGGCTCCTGACAGGGCTGGAGAACACAGATCCCCGTGAGTCCGAGGCCTGTGATGAGGGGGCCTCGGGTGGGTGACTGCATGTGTGTGTCCTGGAACCTCTGCCGCTCCTGCTGGGAACTGGCCTGTGGTCCCCAGCCCAATACTCCTGACCCCACCTGCAGCTGGAGGGCCCTCGTCCAGGAAGAAGTCCTGGTGTCTGGATAGGGTCTGGGCTCTTCTCACAGCCAGGGTTCTTCTGAGAATCAGGAAAGACCCAGGGAAAGGCAGTCACGTTGGGGCTCTTTTCTCTTGCAGCTGCCTCTCCAGGAAAAACCCTCAATTAAACACAGCACAACACCAGAAGCACCAGGTCACCCATCTCTCAGGCCAGCACCCACTCCACGTGTGCTGGAGAGTGGACACTGCACTAGAGCTCATGTCTCCTCTGGCCCCTCTACCTCTGTGAGCTCCTGAGGACTACTCAGTCCCAGATCCCCACCACGCCTCCTCTTCCTCTCCTCTGGAATTTACTGGATTTCTAAAATTTATTGATTTCCTTATTTATTTACTTCCTTGTTTATTTATTTATTTTCTTTCTTTTATTTATTTGTTTCCTTTATTATTTATTTGTTTATTTATTTATTTATTATCTGGTTTGTTTTGAGTTTTGCTTTGTTGTTTCAGGTTCTTTCATTGTTGTTGTTATGGTTATTTCAGTATAATTTTTCATTGTTGAGATAGGTGTGTTAAAAAGTGTGGTAATAAAGTTTTACATTGTGTGATATCAAGTTGCCTGCTCAATCCATTCCCAAGGCTGTGCCACCACCAACACTGTGTAACTTCGATGGGAGGGACCCCAGAAGAGCACATGGGTCTTGTGGGGGAGAACACACACTGGTCATTCCGGAGGAGGTGAGATAGAGGCCCCTGAGTATGGGGGAGAGGTGACTGCCTAAAAGGTTGAGGATTCCATGCCACCAGCAGGGGCTGCTTTTCTGGGGGCAATGCCCTTAGGACCATGACATGGAATGCAGAACCCAACAGAAGAGGTGTCTTTGCCAGTGTGGTCACACTTAGTCTCCTGCTCTCCAAAGTGGAGTGGAACCACTGCCCTCTACTGGGTGGTAGGAACCCAAATGGAAATGTGATGGCAAGTGGAACTCCCCTGCCAACTCTGGGTCTCAGGCTTTGGGCACATGTCATGGAATCCATGCCAACACACCATGCAGAATTGAAAGAGCACATGAGTCCCTGTTCAGGAGCCACATTGTCCTCATGCAAAGCCCTGAAAACATGATGGTTAACCTATTTCAAACAACATCTTTCTTCTTTATTTTTTTCTCTGTTTTTGTTTTGTCTTGCAGTAATGTGCAAGGAAACCAGGGTGCTCTGCTACCAAGGTTCTTGGGTAGGACTCTTTCTTTGAGCATTTTGTGAAAAACTCCCTAATTGGTAAAGACTGGCACAGATTTTGAGATCCTCCTGCCTGGATCACGCAGGATGTTGATAGCCACAGGCTCAGTATGAGGATGGACTGAGAGCACTGCTCCCAATGTTCACAGAGTTTCAGGGTGGAGTGTGTGTGTGTCAAAGCCCTCGTCTAAGGAACTTACACACATGGATCCTGGTAATGTCATGCAAACAAATCTACAGAAGTCACATGTCCAAAAAACTCCCTTCAGGACAAGGCCAAGGACAGCCAGCCTTAATAAACGTTGGGACTTGTCAGATTCAGAGCCCTGGGTGCTGTCTCCTTGAGTCAGGGAGAGCTGCTGTGGGTGGGGCCCTCTCCTGGTATAGTGCAGCCCTTTAGATGCCTAGGAGGTGAGGATGCCCCACCACCCATCACCCCAATACCTGACCCGCAAGACGATAACATACTTCCTAGTGCCTTAGAGACAGGTATCTGCACTCGGGATGCTGAATGTCACAGGAATGGGGGGTGGGGTGACTTGCAGATGGTGTGCAGTGACCTAGGCAGATGGTCTGAATGGGGGATCTCATCAGAGGAACAGAGCAACATCACCACTAAACCTCAGAGTATCCATTTGCTTTGGCTTTTGAGCTCCTGGCTCACTTTCAAGGTGACATCATTGTTTCAGTTGACTTAATGGAGGTTCAGCAATATGGAATCCAGTGCACTGGATCATCCTGCTTTGTGCTAGATTGGCTCCAGCTCATTAGGACCCACACCTGTGTGTGCAGTAAGCAGATGGGATGTCTAGTGCCAGCCTGCATCAAGGGCCTAGTAGAGGTAACTGGGTTGATGAGGTTGTCTCACCACAGTCATCCTCTATTGAGGTAGCCTGCACTCCTGGACATGTAGGCAGGTGCGTTCCAGTAGTAGCCAGGCATCCCACCACAGAGTTCACATTCTTTCCAAAGGCTATGGGCCAGGATCCAGGTTGTGCAGACAATGAAGACCCTGGGAGGGCAGGATTGCAAATGGAAGGCCACACCCTGCAATTAGAGAGACCTGGTCTCAAAATGAAGCATCACAGGAGCTGTGGATGAAGCTCAGGGGCAGAGCATCCTGGGTTCAATGGTCCATACTGGAAAGACAGAAAATACCCTGTGCTTCAGAACCCAGGCACAGAAGTGTACTCTGCGAATGGCAAAGTACTTGGGAATCTAAAGCTTTTGGACATCACAAGATCCAGGTGAGCCTGGGCAATTGTCCTTATTCTGTCAGAAAAAGAAAAAGTGTGGAAGATGGATCTCACTACTAGAGTAGCCTTGTGTCAGAATCCTTCCAGTTCTTTCAAATGAGAACATTGAAGTGCAATTTACTCTTAGAGCAAAAGTTTATATTTTTGCCATGTTGAAGAGGCTGAGCTGAAAACACAATTACCTTCAGTAACTTACAGCCTAAGACTTGAAGTCGGAAAACCAAGTGCTAGAAAAGGGCAAATCTCAGTACTCATAGGCATTTCCCCACATCCTAAGGGTCCTGCTCATCAGAGAAAGAACTTTCAGAAGGAAATTGCCTGTGACCAACACTGCCTGAGGCTCTCCCTATCTAGGGCCTGCTCTTGTACTTGGGTTCACACCCTGGTCTTGACTCTGCTGATTTTGACGAAATACCAGAGGCAAGGGAATACCAAGATTTTCCTTTCCCCTTCAGTCCTCCCCAGGCCTAGATGTCGGTTTCCCACTCTTGCAGCTTCTCATCAGATGCTCTTTCTTGTGCATGCTTCTCCCAGTGACCACATCCTGGTCTGGCCTTGCACACCAGCATGTGGAAAAGGAAAAATCTACAACATGCAGAAGAAAAAGTATGCATCTGGAAGAGAGGAAGGCAGGGCTGTGGTTACCCCTTTGCATAGGAATGCATTCCATATCAACTCTCTTTATACCTCCTGTCAGAAAAAGTAATGGATATTAATTTTTTAAATTTTAAATTTATATAGAAATGCCTCCCACAAGTGAAATCAAAAGAGAATCTTTCCCAGTCTTCCTTTATGTTATGCAATACTCTGTAGAACTGAGGAGACATAGAAGCCCCTGCAGCACTGAAGTGTTTGCCGTGGTGGCCAATGGACTCTTGTCTCTGACCAGAAGTTATGCCCCAGTATGTCACTGAGTTTGTGTGGGTACTGGAGACCTGTGTTGATTCTGTCCATAAGTTTGCACACATGTGAACCACACCATTCATGGTTGTTGTTTTGCCTGCTTCCACATGCAGGCATTCTGTCTCACCTGTTTTGAAGTGAGTGATTGGAATATTGCATCTTTTTATTCTTTGCAATTCCTTCAAGACCCACAAATGCATTCCTGTATGGGAATCAAAAGCCTTT